CTTCACTGGGTCGTTTCCTCCTGGTACCCAGTGGAGCCTCCGGCGGCCAGTCTACGGTCTCCGCCAGGCGCCCCGTGAGTGGCACGACACACTGAGGACTACACTTGCGGCTCTTGGGTTTGCTCCTTCTACTGCCGACCCGTCGCTGTTTCTGCGCACCGACACCTCTTTGCCGCCGTTCTACATCCTCGTGTACGTCGACGACTTGGTCTTTGCCACTGCTGACACTGCTGGACTCGCCCACGTGAAATCGGAGTTGCAGAAGAGACACACGTGCACAGACCTGGGTGAACTGCGCAGCTACCTTGGCTTGCAGATCACCCGGGACAGAGCACAGCGCACCATTACCCTGACTCAGTCACACATGGTGCAGCAGGTCCTTCAGCGCTTCGACTTCACGTACTCCTCGCCTCAGGCCACTCCTCTTTCTACTCGCCACTCGCTCTCAGCTCTGCCTTCGGATGAGTCCGTAGAGCCGAGTGGCCCGTACCCAGAGCTTGTTGGCTGCCTCATGTACCTGATGACCTGCACACGACCTGACCTTGCATACCCTCTTAGCATCTTGGCACGCTATGTTGCTCCTGGGAGACACCGACCAGAGCACATGGCTGCAGCGAAGAGGGTGTTGCGCTACTTGTGCAGTACGTCGAGCATGGGGCTAGTGCTTGGAGGGCGACGTTCAGTGGTCCTCACAGGTCACGCAGACGCTTCTTGGGCTGACGACCAGGCTACGCAGCGGTCGTCACAGGGTTACACCTTCGGCCTTGGTTCCGGCTCTGTTTCGTGGTGGTCTACCCGCTCGGCTCCAGCTGTGAGGCTGAGATCTACGCGGGGGCCATGGCTGCACAGGAGCTACGCTGGCTCACCTACCTGCTGACTGACCTAGGAGAGCCGCCTCGTTCTCCTCCAGTTCTGTACGTAGACAACAAGGCCATGCTGGCCTTGTGTCGGGAGCACAGACTGGAGCACAGAACGAAGCACATTGCTCTTCGCTACTTCCTTGCTCGTGAGCTGCAGCAGCGTGGTCAGCTGCGCCTTGCTTACGTGGCCTCTGAGGCCAACACTGCTGATATCTTTACCAAGGCACTTCCGCATTGTGATCATCAGCGCTTCTGCACGATGCTAAGTCTTGTGCCTACTTGGCCTCACTTGCTCACTTCTTGACCTTGCTTGTACTGTGATCTTTCTATACCTGCACTTGCTTGTTTACCTTTACATATGATCTTGCATGTGAACTGGCCTTGTGGCCTTGAACTTGTGCTCGGAATGTGTGGTGACGTTGTGATCCACCCTGAGCCTGCTTTGCTTTGCTTGACTGGTCTTGTGACCTCTTGTTCTCCCCCACTTTGCCTATGGGGGTGTGTCAAACTTATATGCTATAGTCTGTGTAGGCTGTAGTGGGGTAGACAATATGGGGTACAACACTTTTAGGTTTTCCTACTTGTACCCACCTGTTTGCCAGTGCATTCATTCCTCGTTCTTTCACAGTGACAGCTGCGAAAAGGAGGCATCCTAGCTTCCTCTGTTAGTCGCGTGTGCCGGCAAGCTTGAGTAGAGTAGAGCCTCCCTTGATGTTTCTTGTCGTGTACCAGTATGGCGTGGAGATGGCAGTCGGTGTGAGTGCGAAGTGTTTGGCGATGGTGTCGGCGTATTTCGCGGCGCTGAGATAGATCGCGTCTTCTTCTTCTCGGATGTTGAGGCCGAGGTAGTGTGTGACGGTAGATGAGACCGTGAGCGTGAGGTCCTTCTGCAGCTCCCCTTCGAACCAGGTTGTGATGCCGTCGGTCGAGCCGATGTAGAGTAGATCGTCTACATAGACGATTAACAGGATGTAGTCGGTGCCCTTCGTGAGCCGGTACATGCCCTGATCGTGCGGTAGTTGTTTAAAGCCGATGCGAATGAGGCGAGCGTGCAGGTATTGTTGCCATAGTCGCGGAGCTTGCTTGATGTCGTAGAGCGACTTCAGCAGCTGACAGACTTGATTGGGCTCACCGTTGGAGCCGTGCGGTAATTCGACGAAGATTTCTGCGTCAACGGGTGCGTAGAGGAATGCGTTCGCGACGTCGATTTGCCGCAGCATCTTCTTCTTCATGGCGGCGATCGCGAGGAGGATTCGGAGTGAAGTGTGTCGACTGACCAGAGCGAATGTTTCGGTGAAGTCGCGTCCGTGTTCTTGGTCGAAGCCGCGTACGACCCAGCGAGCTTTAAACTTGTCGATGGTGCCGTCAGCCTTTGTCTTCACACGGAAGACCCACTTCCCGGTGAGTACTGTTTTGTTCCGTGCTACGCTGATAGGGACGACCTTCCAGGTGTTGCGTTCCTCCAGTGCCTTTAGTTCCCTGTCCATGGCTTCGCGCCATTTTTCCTGGTCAGGGCCGAGCGCCTCTTCTTGGTGGTGGTTGACGACTTCTCCCGCTACACAGCTGTGTTCCCCTTGTGGCAGAAGGCAGATGTGCCTGATGTCTTGATCATGTGGTTGCGCCCAGCGTAGCCTCCCTATCCTTCGTCTCCACTCCGACAGTAGGGGTATTCTATTCTCCACCGTTCTCGCAGGGTTCTGTCGCAAGCAGGGCATCACACAGTCCTGGACGCTTCTGGACTCGCCACAACAGAATGGGTTTCCTGAGCACCGCATAGGCTTGGTCATGGAGATTGCCTGCACCTCCATGGTCCATGCCCGTGCCTCTGTGGCCATATACGGTTGGCTACATCTTACACCAGCTGAACCTCTAGCCTTGTGTCTCTCTCCCGGAGGTTTCACCGACCTGTCTCAAGACTTGTTCCCTTGGTGTCGCATCGTAGTTTCGTGTCTGGGGCTGTCTTCTGCATGTTCGCGATCCCACCACGGACAAGCTCTCGGCTCGCACCCTCCGCTGTGTCTTCCTTGGTTTTCCGGTTCACGCCCTTGACTTCACGTTTTACCACCCGCCCCTCCACCGGTTCTTCTACTCCCCGTGACGTCACTTTTGACAAGTCTGTATCCTTCTATGCTTGCTACCCTCACCGAGGTCTCCCGGTTCCCCCCCTTCCCCTCTTTCTCATCCCCAATCCTCCCCCTGCTCCTACTTTCCGGTACGTCCACCCCACCCAGGTCTTGCCCTGTCAGATGTGTTTCGCGCTAGCCCTCCTCACTTGGTAGCATGTTAGGTGTCGTCTGCTTTACCACAGTCCCCCACGTCGTCTTCACAGTCACCGCAGCTGCCTTTGGTACTATCATGGTTGGTCGCAGTGGACTCAACTGAAGGCGGCGCAACTGGAGGTGCTGGTGCTCGAGGTGCTCGTTCTAAGGGAGCTCGTGTCGGGGGTACTGGAGCTGGAGGTACTGGCACTAGAGGTGCTGGACCTGGGGGTGCTGGAGCAGGAGGTGCTCGAGTCGGATGTGCTGGTTCTTGAGGTATTGGGGCTGGAGGTTCTGGAGTCGGAGTTGCTGGTTCTGGGTGTGTTGGAGCCAGAGACGCTGGTACTACGGCCTCAGCTCCGACTGGCCCCCGGTACCTGACGTGGTTTCAGTGTCAGCGGCAGCAGGAGCACCACCAGCAGCTACAGCAGCTGCTGCTGCTTCTACCGCAGCAGCAGCAGCCGCAGACGCCACAGTAGTCATCGTTGCAGCGGTTGTCACCACATGTGAATGGTCTTCGTACCCTTGGTCAACCTTCATCTTCTCCTGACCACTTACCGTCTCCTCCTGCGCACGGTCCTAAGTTTCCTCCTCCGGGCTCGTCTTCGACTCTCTCTCCTCCTCGGTCACGGCCGTTTCCTCCTGTTATCCAGTCCCCTTGGACCTATAGTCCCCTGAGTGCTCATCACTTGTCTTCTGTTCGAGACCTCCGTTCTATTTTCCTCCGTCCTAGCCCTCCTCGTTCTCCGCCTCCGTCTGTCCTCCCGTTGCCTCCCTTGTCAGATTTTGTTGTTTCCTCACCGCCTCTCACTGACTACTACCATACTACTTGCCCTGTTGTCCCAATTGTTCTCTCCTCTCTCGTCGCGGAACCTACTGCCTCTCCGTCGTCTGTCTCGGTTCTTGTTGCCGTTGTCACTGACTTTGCCGCCTCCCACCTTTGTCACAGACCGGAAGCTTACAATATTTGATGCCTTAGGTTGTGGAGAGTGGTAGGTTGGAGACCGGAAGGTGTTAGAGGGTGGAGAGAATGACTCTTGGGTGCAATATCAACATGGTACCCGGAAGGTTGTGGACTTGGACGCTGTACATGGTAGAGAGGATGACACTATGGAAATGTCAAATTGTCACAATTTATATGTATGATTTTGATATAACATATTGGCTGCTTCGAACACGGTAACACGAACGACTTGTAGTGCGACCCCGCACAGCCGCGCATCATGAGAATGACAGCAGCAGTCACGGTTACTGGTTCCCATGCAGATGGCATGGCATGGCATCCACATTCGAGTCAGGCGCAGCGTGCGTGAGGCGAAGCAAGACAAATCCTCTTCATCCAAGCGCCCTGCAGTGAACAGCTAGGAGACAGACGAGTGCTGCTGACGAGCGTGCTCGAAACTCGCTGTAATTTGGCACACCATGGCCCGTACGTAGCTCTACCATCCACCCTCCTTGCTGGCTGAATTTGGCCGGCTCGTTACTAGGCGCGCCGCGAATTCAGTCTGATTCTTCTTCAGCGTCTCAGGATTAGTTAGCAGGTCAGGTCGCGGCGAATCGTGGAGTCGAATCGCGAGGACCAGCACAGCTGGCAGTGGCGAATAAGGTCGGCGGACGACGTGGGCAGCTGACGATGCTGAAGGGACATTCTAATGCAGCGGGCGGAGCAAAGGCGGCGTCCACGTCACCGCAGCGGGAATGGCCTCTCTGGAGCGTCCACGTGGCACTTGCGGTGGTTATGGTAAGCGTGCGAAAAGAAACGGCACATCGGAGAAGAATAAGCAATTGAAAGGCAAATGGTGAATTGAGGCCATGACAGTGGCGCTCGATTGCTATGGCGCTCGATTGCTATGGCGCTCGATTGCTATGGCGCTCGATTGCTATGGCGCGCGTTTGCTGTGCCTTGATTCGCAAAACTGTTACTGCTCCTCAACCCCGCCTTCTGTTCCTGCTTCCTTCCCCTCCGTTCCTCCGCTCGCCCCGCCACCAGGTGTGTAACGGCATGCACCACGCGTTATTAAAGCCCAACCCAGTGCTCTGCCGCTCCTCGCCCTCCCGCCCATCCTTCCCCCGTTCCCCGCTCTCACCTCCGTTTCCTCCCTCCGGTCCCGCTTTCCCGTTCAACGCGTCACGGCCTCCCTTTCCTCCTCCACCCTCCTTCCTCTCTCCCCTGTTCCCCCCTCCTCTCCCTCCCCCCTCCTGCCGTGCAAGGAGAGCAACGGAGTGTACCACACCACGTGCTGGCGAACCGTGCATTGGCTGACGGACCAACTTCTGAGTCGTTCGCAAGTTAAACCCCTCTCCCCTTTCCCCTCTCCCCTCTCCCCTCTCCCCTCTCCCCTCTCCCCTCGCCCCTCTCCCCTCTCCCCTCTCCCCTCTCCCCTCGCCCCTCTCCCCTCTCCCCTCTCCCCTCTCCCCTCTCCCCTCGCCCCTCGCCCCTCTCCCCTCGCCCCTCTCCCCTCTCCTTTCTCCCCTCGCCCCTCTCCCCTCTCCCCTCGCCCCTCGCCCCTCTCCCCTCGCCCCTCTCCCCTCGCCCCTCTCCCCTCTCCCCTCTCCCCTCTCCCCTCTCCCCTCTCCCCTCGCCCCTCTCCCCTCGCCCCTCTCCCCTCTCCCCTCTCCCCTCGCCCCTCTCCCCTCTCTCCCCTCTCCCCTCTCCCCTCTCCCCTCGCCCCTCTCCCCTCTCCCCTCTCCCTCTCCCCTCTCCCTCTCCCCTCGCCCTCGCCCCTCGCCCTCTCCCCTTGCCCCTCTCCCCTCTCCTTTCTCCCCTCGCCCCTCGCCCCTCTCCCCTCGCCCCTCTCCCCTCGCCCCTCTCCCCTCTCCCCTCTCCCCTCGCCCCTCTCCCCTCTCCCCTCTCCCCTCGCCCCTCTCCCCTCTCCCCTCGCCCCTCTCCCCTCGCCCCTCTCCCCTCTCCCCTCTCCCCTCTCCCCTCGCCCCTCTCCCCTCGCCCCTCTCCCCTCTCCTTTCTCCCCTCGCCCCTCTCCCTCGCCCCTCGCCCCTCTCCCCTCGCCCCTCTTCCCTCGCCCCTCTCCCCTCTCCCCTCTCCCCTCGCCCCTCTCCCCTCTCCTTTCTCCCCTCTCCCCTCGCCCCTCTCCCCTCGCCCCTCTCCCCTCGCCCCTCTCCCCTCGCCCCTCTCCCCTCTCCCCTCTCCCCTCGCCCCTCTCCCCTCGCCCCTCTCCCCTCGCCCCTCTCCCCTCTCCCTCTCCCCTCTCCCCTCTCCCCTCGCCCCTCTCCCCTCTCCCCTCTCCCCTCTCCCCTCGCCCCTCTCCCCTCGCCCCTCTCCCCTCGCCCCTCTCCCCTCTCCCCTCTCCCCTCTCCCCTCGCCCCTCTCCCCTCTCCCCTCTCCCCTCTCCCCTCTCCCCTCGCCCCTCTCCCCTCGCCCCTCTCCCCTCTCCCCTCTCCCCTCTCCCCTCTCCCCTCTCCCCTCGCCCCTCTCCCCTCGCCCCTCTCCCCTCTCCCCTCGCCCCTCTCCCCTCTCCCCTCTCCCCTCTCCCCTCGCCCCTCTCCCCTCTCCCCTCGCCCCTCTCCCCTCTCCCCTCTCCCCTCTCCCCTCTCCCCTCTCCCCTCTCCCCTCGCCCCTCTCCCCTCGCCCCTCTCCCCTCTCCCCTCTCCCCTCTCCCCTCTCCCTCCCCTCTCCCCTCTCCCTCTCCCTCTCCCTCTCCCCTCGCCCCTCTCCCCTCGCCCCTCTCCCCTCTCCCCTCTCCCCTCGCCCCTCTCCCCTCTCCCCTCTCCCCTCTCCCCTCTCCCCTCTCCCCTCTCCCTCGCCCCTCTCCCCTCGCCCCTCTCCCCTCTCCTTTCTCCCCTCGCCCCTCTCCCCTCTCCCCTCGCCCCTCTCCCCTCGCCCCTCTCCCCTCGCCCCTCTCCCCTCTCCCCTCTCCCCTCTCCCCTCGCCCCTCTCCCCTCGCCCCTCTCCCCTCTCCCCTCGCCCCTCTCCCCTCTCCTTTCTCCCCTCGCCCCTCTCCCCTCTCCCCTCGCCCCTCTCCCCTCGCCCCTCTCCCCTCGCCCCTCTCCCCTCTCCCCTCTCCCCTCTCCCCTCTCCCCCCGCCCCTCTCCCCTCGCCCCTCTCCCCTCGCCCCTCTCCCCTCGCCCTCTCCCCTCTCCCCTCGCCCCTCTCCCCTCGCCCCTCTCCCCTCGCCCCTCGCCCCTCTCCCCTCTCCCCTCGCCCCTCGCCCCTCTCCCCTCTCCCCTCTCCCCTCTCCCCTCTCCCCTCTCCCCTCTCCCCTCTCCCCTCTCCCCTCGCCCCTCTCCCCTCGCCCCTCTCCCCTCTCCCCTCTCCACTCTCCCCTCTCCACTCTCCCCTCTCCCCTCTCCCCTCGCCCCTCTCCCCTCTCCCCTCTCCCCTCTCCACTCTCCCCTCTCCCCTCTCCCCTCTCCCCTCTCCCCTCGCCCCTCGCCCCTCGCCCCTCGCCCCTCTCCCCTCGCCCCTCTCCCCTCTCCCCTCTCCCCTCTCCCCTCTCCCCTCTCCCCTCTCCCCTCTCCCCTCTCCCCTCTCCCCTCTCCCCTCTCCCCTCTCCCCTCTCCCCTCTCCCCTCTCCCCTCTCCCCTCTCCCCTCTCCCCTCTCCCCTCTTCCCTCTCCCCTCTCCACTCTCCCCTCTCCACTCTCCCCTCTCCCCTCTCCCCTCTCCCCTCTCCCCTCTCCCCCCTCCCACAAGCTGAACAACGGCGTGTACCACGTGCTGGCCAAGAGGGCGTGACAGTCGAGTCTATTCACAAGTCACCCCTTTGTCCCCGCCTCCACCTCCTCTCCCGTCTCCCCCTCCCCCCCCCCCCCCCACAAGCTGAACAACGGCGTGTACCACGTGTTGGCCAAGAGGGCGCTGGCAGAGGGCGTGCATGCGCTCGTTTTCTGTGTCTACCGCGATGCCATCGCTCTCCTCGCCCTGCTGCCCGCCGCTGCCCTCGCCGAGAGGTGAGGTGAGGCGAGGTGAGGTGATGTGAGGCGAGGTGAGGTGAGGTGAGGTGAGGTGATGTGAGGTGAGTTGAGGTGACGCTGCCGGCGTGGCTGTGGTGAGCTGGATGCTAGTTTGAAAAGTGCGGGTGGCAGTGGTGGGAGGATGGGTGTGCAGGCAGGGCTGCGGAGGCGGTGGGCGTGCAGCAGCGGCTGCTGGGGTGTGTGCGGCGCCATGTGCTTGCATTGGTGCTCGCTGCTGGATGAGGGGCGAGCGAGGCCTGGGATGGGATGGATGGGTTGGTGTGTGTGAGGTGCGTGCGTGCTTGCGTTCTCTCTCTGCTCTGCACCGCACCTGTCGCAGCATAGCGTGTGTGGGATGGGATGGCTCAGTGACGGGTGCGAGAAGAGTAGCGGCTGCCGGCAAGGCGAGGAGAGCGTGTGTGAGCGGCACGCGGGCAAGGAGGGGAGGGAGAAGAGAGGCGTGAGTGACCTGAACCATGAGTGGCACCTTGGATTGGCACGTGTGCCTCATTCAATCCATCTCACCTCACCCCTGCTCTGCTCTGCTCTGCTCTGCTCTGCCCTGCCCTGCTCTGCTCTGCTCTGCTCTGCTCTGCTCTGCTCTGCTCTGCTCTGCTCTGCTCTGCTCTGCTCTGCTCTGCTCTGCTCTGCTCTGCTCTGCTCTGCTCTGCTCTGCCCTGCCCTGCCCTGCCCTGCTCTGCTCTGCTCTGCTCTGCTCTGCTCTGCTCTGCTCTGCTCTGCTCTGCGCTGCTCGTATGGCTGTGCAGGTCCCAGCACCATCTTATGTCACACAGGCTGCTCCTCCCCTTCTTTCTACTCGGCCTCACAGGGTAAAGGCTCTCTTTCATCTCCTCGTCCCCCTCTTTCCTCCCTCTCTTTCTCCTCTCTCCCCCTTTTCTCATCTTCCCCCTCTTTCTCCTCCCTGGCCATCACCCCTGCCCCTCCTGTCCACTTCTCCGCTCGTTTCCACGTTTTTGACTTGCAACGTCTCGTTGTCTCGCGGATGTGCTCCACACGCACATGTGACTCTCCTCCCTCTGCGCGCCGTACGTCAGATGCAAAGCAAGAGTGCAAGCCACGCACTACACTCCACCGCATGCATATGCACACCGCTTCCTCCCACCCATACCTCGTGGTACACCCCGCTCATGCAACCCTTTCCCCCTCTATCCCCCTCCCTCTCCGCACATACATCACCTTTCTGCACCCCTCTGCACCCTATCCTCCTTCCGCCCTCCCTCCCTCCCCCCTCCAGTATCCTGGGCAACCAGCTGCTGTTCCTGCTGGGGCTCAACCTCACAGGCCCTACCACAGCAGCGGCGCTGCAGCCGTCCATCCCCGTCTTCACGCTCCTCCTCGCGCTGCTCCTCGGGTAACACTCTCCATTCCCCTGCCGCACTTCCTCCCACCCACACTGCCATGCCCGCCCTGCTCCGTCCACCTCCCCCCTTCCCCCTTCCCCCTTCCCCCTTCCTGCTCCGCTAACCTCCTTCCTCCAATTCCTTCTCTGCAAGCACAGCTGCGCCCCGCGCCATGCAGTCTGGCCTTACTGAACCTGCAGCAGCGTATTTCTCACAGCAGCGTATTTCTCACAGCAGCGTATTTCTCACAGCAGCGTATTTCTCACAGCAGCGTATTTCTCACAGCAGCGTATTTCTCACAGCAGCGTATTTCTTGTGGTTCTCACGGCACTGCACTGCACCCCGTGCTCTTGACTCGACTCAGAGTTCACCTCGAAAGTGACTGCTGGACTGCCCCATGTGCCGAGCCATGCAGCCTGGACTCCTTGAACCTGCAGCACTGGCGCGACCAGGTGCGCCTGGTGGGGCTGGCGCTGTGCGTGGGCGGCGCCGTGCTCATGGCAGTCTTCCGCGGGCCGCTGCTGCTGGGGGAGGGCGGAGAGCAGCAACAGGGGGACACTGCGCTCCTGCAGCAGCAGGCCGCACTGCCGCCTGGTGCTGAAGGGGCGGGTGCTGCTGGTGGTGCTGGTGGTGGTGGGGGAGGAGTGGGAGGAGGAGGTGGAGAGTGGGTGGCGCCAGGGTCAGTAGGAGCGTGGAGCATGGGGGTGATGTCGCTGGTGGGCAACTGCATGAGCATGGCGGCCTATCTCACTATACAGGTCAGAGCAGGGTGAGGCAGGGCACGGCGGGGCAGGGCACGGTGGGGCAGGGCAGGGCAGGGCAGGGCGGGGCGGGGCGGGGCAGGTAAGGTCAGGTGATGTTGGCTCAGGTGAGGTCAGGGCAGGGCAGGTGAGGTCAGGTGAGGTCATGCGAGGCCACGTCCATTGCATATGGCATATGCCACTCGTGAACATGCACTCATGCCATTCCCTCTCCGCGCTCCTCTCACCACCTGTGTGGAAGTTCTCCTATCACACTCGTGGCTGCCATACGTATTCCCCCTCCCCCACTCCAACCCCGTTCCCTCTTCCCCACACTCTTATGCCGCGTGCATCTCTGCTCCCTCGCCGCACCCTGTCCGTGCTCTCCTGTCCTGTTCATCATCATTGCATTGCCTCCCTCTCCACCTCCTGCCTCACTCTCCCTCCCCCACCTCCCCACCCCCACCCTCATCCCCCCCCCTCCTCACCTTGCCCCTGTGCGCGCAGGTGCCAGTGCTGCGGCGCTTCCCGGCGCCAGTGACAGTGACGGCCATGGCATACGTGGTGGGCGCGCTGCTCATGCTGCTCATCGCGCTCCTCTCCTCCCCGCCCTCCTGGGTCATAACGGGCTGGCCGCTCGTGGCTGTTGTCTTTGCGGTGCGCTTGGGGGGGGAGGTGGGGGTGAAGGTGGGGTTTATCCTGTGTTCAGATAGTGCGATCCCGTACCGCGCTGCTCATCACGGTCCTCGCCTCCCCAAACTCCTGGGTCATCACTGGCTGGCCGCTTGTGGCCGTTGTCTTTGCGGTGCGCTGGGGAGGAAGGGGGGAATGGGGATGGAAGGGGGAGGAGGGAGAGAGGACGGGATGGGGAATTGGGGGGGGGAGGGAACGGAGGGGGGAGAGGGTGAGAGTTTGGAGGAAGGAGGGTGGGGGGGGTGAAGGTGGGGTCTGTCTGTCCTGCGTTGAGAGAGTGCGAGTTGGTACCAAGCTGCGAGGGGGTGCCATCTTATGGTGGGTGGGCCGTGCGTATTGGTGGTGGGCCTGCTGTCCTCATCCCACTTGCTGTGCTTGTCTGCACTTTGGGCGCAAGAGACGCCCTCCCTTCTCTCTGTTCTGAGCCGTGTCGAGCCACGAATTTGTCGACTGCTCCCGTCCCATGCGTGACGTTGCTGCTCTTGCTGTGGGGAGTTTGTGTGGAGTGCAGTGGAGGGGGGTGAGTGTAGGCCGGGAGGGAGGGATGCCTCCAGGGGGGGATTGGAGAACTCTGATGGAAGACCTGGGTTCACCAGGGCCTCACAACACCGTCACTCACTTGCACTCCCTCTCCCTCCCCCCCACACCCTCCCCCCCCACACCTCTCTCCCTCACACACCCTTCCCCCCCACACCTCTCCCCCCCACACCTCTCCCCCCCACACCTCTCCCCCTCATACCCTTCCCCCCCACATCTCCCCCCCCCACACCCTTCCCCCCCACCCCACACCTCAACCCCCCACACCTCTCTCCCAGGGCGTGGTGACGTCAGCTCTCAACTACGCACTAATGACAGCGGCCAACAGGCGCGTGGGGCCGGCCACAGTGGCGCTCTACAACCCGCTGCAGCCCGTCGCCAGCGCCACGCTCTCCTACCTCTGCCTCGCCTCGCCCATCTTCCTTGGCAGGTCAGCCACCCACCCACGCCCTTCCTCAGCTGTCTCAATAATTCCTTAAAACTTTGAGCTCCATTCGCCTCAAAACAAGGTGAGTTTTGAGACGCCTCAACAAGTGCATCTCTGTCCCGCGTGCGTGGGCCTCGTTTCACACAGCTTCCCCCATGCACTCTCCTTCACCTTCGTGTCTGCTCTGTCTCTCTTGAGCACACTTCTGCACATGTGTCCATGCCAGTGCATACAAGTGTGTGATGCATGCATTGTGCCAGAGCGAGCAGACATGTGCTGCCAGACACAATTGTGTCATACGGTTCAGCAACAGTATTTCAATCCTTTGGGCGTGGAGCCCAAAGTTGCAGCGACAGTGTTTCAAAATGACTCGGGTCGGTCACACCTTGCGCAAAAATTGCGAGGGTGCCTGGCGGTTACATCTTAGTGCAAAGAGTCAACGTCAAACTGCAAGTGGTTGTGCCATGCTGGCGAGTACAACCACAGGCTCTCCACGCCCTCCCATGTTGCAATGCGCCACTGCAATGCAGCACAGCCTGTCCCTGCAGGGAACAGAGGCAGCACTGCAAGCAGTACAGCAGGGAGATGAACCGCAAGAGCCACTGCAATCCCGAGCTGAGGCGATGTGAGGGGGCCAACTTACATTCTCTTCGTGGTCCTATGCTTGGGTCTGTTGGCATGGGGAATGCTGCAATAGAAGTCTCTGTGACAAGACAAGTAGTGCTGTGCTTATTTTAGCTCAGTGTTGAGCACACTCAGTCAGAAGCTTGCCAGAATTGATTGCACAAGTCGTGCGGGGTTTTCTTGCAGAGCGCCTCCCTCTGAGCGGATAGATTGAATGGGTGGATGCTTCACAGCTGACACTGCCGCACAGTAACGGAAAACTGTCAAGGTACAGTAACGGAACCCCGATTCTGGGACCACATTCAATCCTTTTCGAGCGGCACTTGTTGTTTTGGTTGTTGTTTTCGTCAGCGCTTTTCCGAACGTGCTTTTAGCTAGGTGGGTCTTTTCAAATCCTGGCGTGAGGCTGTGCATACATTACCCATCTGGATTTGTTAGGCCTCATGCCATTCCTGGAACCAACCCCGGGAATGTCTTGCAGCACATGTTGTTGAGGCTCTAATGCGTGCACTTTACGGGTACCGGTATAGCAACATATGTGTAAGCTTGTCTGGGGTAACTTATGCGGGCCCGCATAAGCTGCGGCATCCATGGGTGTTCAAGCTGTGTGGGTCTTGCAGACCGAGGTATACGGTAAAACCCAGCTCGTAGATGCCAGGTAGCTGTTCACCTTGTACAGTTGCTTCTTTACTCTATTCGTACCACTCATTAGTCTGCTTCTTTGGGGGGGTGCCTGCTGGTTTGCCATTGGCTGCAGTGTCATCGGGGGTTTCCTCGTCTTATCTGGCCTGTACCTTGTGGTATGGGGAGCCAAGGTACAGGAGCCCAGCACCACCCATCACCATCACGCTCCTGCTGACGATGCTGCCATGGCTGTGGATGGAGCACTGGGTCCAGAAGAACCAGAAGCTACGCTTCTGCTAGAAACGCAAACAGAAGCAAGCCAGGGCGAAAGCACACCCATGTGACTTTTATTCGCGTGTCATAGCACTGCCGTGTGTTGTATGCAGGGTCCTCGCTAGGATCCGAGGTATGTCTGATGCATCAGACGGGTCCCCCGGGCAAATAAAAACTTTTGTCTGATTCTGACTGGCCCATCAGATAAATCGAAAAAAATCCGTCTGGAAACTAAGACAAACAGACAAAAATGTCTGATGTCGAGGACCCTGGTTGTATGGTACTCCATAAGGCCAAACATGCACCTCCTCAATCATGGGAAAGTAGAGCAAATGTGGGCATTGCCATTTCTTGTTCCACATGATGAGCGGTTTCAATCTCAACCTAACAAGGTCTTCTTCCACCTACATTGATTCTAAACCTAACTAGATGTCACTGGTCTCATTCAGGATGAGGAATGTCAGCAGGAATATGTTCCAGCGGGTGATTTGCACATAGTCCAGATACTGATGGATATGGGAACATGGTTAATACACAATACGGTAAGGTAATAGGCGTGCCTTGATATGCTATATACAACAGAAATTGCATTTTGTAGCCGTAATAGTCCAACCACATAGATTCGTGTATTTATGCATTTCTGTAGTCCGCACCCGCTTTCACAATGGCGAAACCGTCTAGCGTCAGCGTCAAGCCCCAATCCATCGTGCCATGTTTTTTCGCCCTGACCGAGGTGCCCGAGAACTCACTGACGAAACTTGCGCAGCACGGCTCTGCGCGTGGGAGCGGGCTCGAGTGGGGCAACCGGACCAGAATCCCCCGAATGCCATTCCACCTCCCATACCCACTTCGTCCAAAATATCTGGCTTGGAGGAACTGAAGTTTTTTTTTGTGCCTGGCGTTTTTGCGAGTGTGACCCAGATTCCAGATTCCAGATTCTCCCGATTCCACCCATAAACCTGATCGGCTGCTGCCTTCACCTTCTCACTCCCTCCTCGCTCCGTGCATCCTTGCTGCTCGTGTCAGCAGCGTTCTCCGAGCCTTTTCCGACCAGATATTTCGCACACAATGGCGGCGTCCCTTTCGTCCGCCCTGGCTACCGCTCTGCATCCACCTCAACCGATCGCCACCGCGCAGCCGCCGCGCGCATCCACCGCGCAAGTCCCGGCCCTGTCCTCCCCCTTCCTTTCTTCGCGCAGCACCCTCCGCGCGCCACCCCCACCCATGCCCGCGAGCAGCTTGCGCGCGCGGGCTGGGCGCGCGGGGGTGCGCGCGATGGCGACGAAGAAGCGCGGGAAGCTCATGCCGGGCGGCGGCGGCGAGCTGGACCGGGGGGGTGGACAAGGTGTTCCCCTCGCCTCCCGCTTCCCCGCTGCTCCGCGCGTTTGTTTCCCTTTTCCGCCAGTGTGCTTAGATCCGCGCGCGCAGGGGTTGCCTTATACGCGGGCATTTCCCCTCACCTGTGCCAATGCCGCCACCACGGCTCGCAATTTTGCGCGTTTTCCCCTGCGTCTCGTCCTGGCCAAAAGCCATAATTCTAGTTAATTATTCACCTGCCGTCGCCACCCCGCCGTCGAATGCATCCGCCACGCCACGGCGAACTTTCCCGCGCATCGTGCATGCACCGCGTGCTCTCGCTTAACGTATCCGTCCCTCACTCCGTCTCTCCTCCGCCACCGTAATCCTGTGTGTTTCCTTCCCGTGTGTGTGCGGCCCGTGTGCACCCCCCCGTGTGCGTGCACCCCCTCGTGTGCGTGCCCTCCCCCATGTGCGTGCCCTCCCCCGTGTGCGTGCCCTCCCCCGTGTGCGTGCCCTCCCCCATGTGCGTGCCCTCCCCCGTGTGTGTATGTGTGTGCGAGGGCAGGAGGCGAGGGTGCGAGAGGCGATGGAGGTGATAAACGGCAAGTACGGCGCCAACACCGCTACCTTCCTCAACGACGACGTCAAACGAGCCAACGCGTGCGCCCCCCGCCCCTCGCCCCTCGCCCCTCGCCCCTCGCCCCTCGCCCCTCGCCCCTCGCCCCTCGCCCCTCCCCATCGTCCTCCCATGGCCCTTGCCGCCCCGCTGCTGCCTCTGTTCGGCTGTCCCCAAGCTTGCTTTCCACGCTTCCCTCCTTCCTCCTGCCACATCGTCTTTGCCCCACCCCCCCTCTACCCCTTCCCCTCCCTTGCCCCCCCTCCAATGTCCCTCTTCCCTTCTCTCCGCAGTGTTCCTACGCGCATGCACGCACACGCACATGGCCCACAGAACATGCTCGCATTTGCCTCTTCATCCATCCTGCCCGCCCCGCAGTTCTGTGCATCTCAACCCTCCTTGCCCGACCTCCCTCCCTGCCCGCCCTCTCCCTGCCCGCCCTCTCCCTGCCCGCCCTCTCCCCGCCATGCAGAGAGACCTTTCCATCTGGTGCGCTCACGCTCGACATTGCCTTGGGGGGAGGGCTTCCCAAGGGGAGAATAGTGGAGGTGAGGCGGGGAGGGGGTGGGAGGGGGGAGGGGGGAGGGTCAGAATAGCAATAATGGAGGTGGTTCTTGTGTGATTTTTCCTTTTTGGTGACACAAGCACATTACTGGAGGTAGTTATTCTGTTTGGAGGTAGTTTTTTCATTCTTTGGTCGCTGTGCTGCTGCTGCTCCATTGCCCTGCCGTGTGTCAATCAATCTACTCGTGGCACATGTGTGCTCTGCTTCTTGCGCACTCACTTCCCGCCACCTCGCCATCCCTCACTCACTCTTCCCGTCCATCCGCCCCCACCACACTCCACCATCCCCTTCGCCCCCTCGTCTATTGCCGCTGTGCTGCCGTGCCGCTGTGCCGCTGTGCTGGTGTGCTGGTGTGCTGCTGTGCTGGCATGTGAGCAGATCTACGGGCAGGAGAGCAGTGGCAAGACCACTCTCGCCCTGCACGCCATCGCTCAAGTGCAGGTACCCTCCCTGTCCTCCCTTCTCCTCTTCTTTCCGCTCCTCTTATCTCCTCTCCTCTACTGTCCTCCTCGCCTCCTCGCCTCCTATGCCGATAATTTACTGTGAACCTTTTTTATGCCTCTCTCCGCCATTCTCTCCCATCTTCCCCCTCCCAGGCCCCCCCTCCCTCTTCTATTTATTCTTGCTTAGCCTCACGTTGTCTCCCTCAACCTCGCTCTTTCCCAGCATTTCCAGTCTACCATCCCCGCTTTCAACCCTCACCTCCTCCTGCCTCCCTTCCCCCTTTCAAGCCTTTTCCTCCCCCATCGCCTCCGCACCTCCCAATCCCCCCCGTCTCCCCTAGCATCCCTACTCACCTGCACACCGTTCTCTGCTTGCGCAACCATGTCTGGCATGGGCAGAAACGTGGCGGGGTGGCGTGGGTGGTGGTCCTCAATTATGCCAGCCAGGCGTGCCACCACTGTATACGTGCCAGCCAGGCGTGCACACCTATAAGCCTCACCTCCTCCCTGCCTCCCTCCTCCCCTCCTTCGCCTCTCCTCCCAACCCACTTGCTCCCCCTCTCCACTCTCGCCCCCCTTCCCCAACGCGCACGGAGCAGAAGCGTGGCGGCATAGCGTGGGTGGTGGACGCGGAGCATGCGTTGGACCTCAAGTACGCGCGGCAGCTGGGCGTGCACACGGACAAGCTCGTGCTGTGCCAGGCCGAGGAGGCTGACAAGGCGCTTGAGAGTGAGCACCCGCGCAGGGGCACGCACACCATGGGGGGTGGGGCCGGGTGGGGATGGGGGTTGGGGAGGAGAGGGTGGGGAGGGGGTTTGGGGTTGTGTGGAGGGGTGTTGAGGGTTGTGTGGGCATGAGCAATGACGTGTGAGCCGTGTCTGCACTGCGTGTTCATGTCCCATGCCATTGGTCTCCCACTTTTCATCTCACTTCCTTCCTCCTCTCCTCAACCCTTCTCCTTTTGAGAATTCTCAAAAGCGCCTCAGCCCTTCTCCATCCCTCCCCCCCCTCCCCTCCCTCCCCTCACCCCCCCCCCCCCCCCCCCCTGCCCTCCATCAACCCCCTGCGCCCTGCCTGCATCGTGCCAGTTGTGGACACGGCGATGAGGGGCCTGGCAGCGGACATAGTGGTCGTTGACTCCGTGCCCGCGCTCATCCCCTCGCAGGAGCTCGAGGTGCCTTTCCTCTCCCGCGCACCCAGCCCCGCGTCTCTCCTTTCTCCTTTGCATGCTTTTGCACGTGCACGTGCATGTGTGTGTGTGTGTCTATCCGTCGCCGCACTCATGCATTCGTTTCCTCGCTCCTCGCTCTCGCGCTTGCTGCTCCACTTCTCCGCCCCATCTCTCTCTTCTCCATTGCAAGTTCTTTCCCTCGCTCACTCTCTCCTCATCCCCTCTCCCACGTCACCGGTGCCATTCCCATGCCCACCACCATGCCACCCGTACGCCCCTCCCCCTCCCATGCGTGCACACTTTACACCACCATGGCACGGTCAGAGCGAGATGGGGCAGGAGTCGATAGGGCTGCTGGCGCGCCTGATGTCCAAGGTGCTCAAGAAGCTGAGCGCCAGTGCGAGCCGGTCCAAGTGCACCGTTGTGTTCCTCAACCAGATGCGCCAGAAGGTGGGGTAAAGCGAGGGGTGGGTGGGGGGATGGAGAAGGGCGCGCACTCATTCTGGACAGGGTGATAGCGTGGTGATGTGATAGCGTGTGTGTTGCCTTGTGCCCCTCTGCCCCCGCCCATCTCCATCCCTCTGCACACTGCGACATTACAACCTGCACACGGCCATGTCACTCTTTCCCCCCCTGCCTCCCTTCCCCTACCCCTCCCTCCCCTGTCCCACTCCCCCCTTGTTTAAGGCTCCCTTTCACCTCTTTCCCCCCTCTTCCGCGCCACCTCCCGCCCCCCACATCCTCCCCTCCCGCCTCCCTTCGTCCACACGTGCTGCTGTGCTGCCGTGCTGCTGTGCTGGTGTGCTGCCGTGTTGCTGTGCTGCTGTGCTGCCGTGCTGCTGTGCTGGTGTGCTGCCGTGTTGCTGTGCTGCTGTGCTGCCGTGGTGCTGTGCTGCTGTGCTGCCATGGTGCTGTGCTGCTGTGCTGCCATGGTGCTGTGCTGCTGTGCTGCTGTGCTGCCGTGCTGCTGTGGCGCCCATGCCATGCAGATCAACACGGGTGGCTTTGCCTTCGGCAGTCCCGAGACCACCACGGGCGGCAATGCCCTGCGCTACTTCGCCTCCGTGCGCCTTGACCTGCGCAGCGTTGGCAAGATCAAATCGGTAAGTGCAGCCAATCACCGTCGTGTGTGGGCTGGCCGGCGTGTGAGATCCATGAGTGCAAGGATCATGTGGCGATTGGTGAATGCGGCCCTTGTTGCACCTCCCTGCACACGTGGTGCTCTGCTCTGCATGGCTTCCCATTCACGTTTGAAAGCTATCAAATCAACCCTGCCTGCATCGTTCTCTTCCTTCCGTCCCAACGTCCTCTGCTCTTCCCTGCTCTCACTGCATGGTTATGTCCCCATGGCAGGCCAAGGACGAGTCAGACATGGGTATTCGTGTGCGCTGCAAGGTGGCCAAGAGCAAGGCAAGCACGCACACATGCCCTCCTTCCCCCAACCCTGCACTCCCATGCCCCATGTTACGTGACACACACACCCGTGCAGCATCTCTCAAACGGTCCTTTGTATTACATCTCTCTACATCTCTCTGTACAGCGTGCTGCCTCGTGTGTCACAACACAACACACACATGAAGCTTCTTGCCACCTGTTCCTCTTTCTCATATGCCTGGCCAGTCAATCTCCCAGCATTCTTTTTCTCTTCCCTTGTAGCACCATTCCCATCACCACACCTGGCACTCAATGCATGGACCAACCTCCCCATGCACGCGTCCCTGTCACTCCCCCTTCTCCCGTTTTGCCCTCCCCCCTGCCCTCCCCCCTGCCCTCCCCCCTGCCCTCCCCCCTGCCCTCCCCCCCGGCCCTCCCCCCTGCCCTCCCGCCTGCCGTCCCCCCTGCCCTCCCCCCTGCCCTCCCACCTGCCGTCCCCCCTGCCGTCCCCCCTGCCGTCCCCCCTGCCGTCCCCCCTGCCGTCCCCCCTGCCCGCCATGGCAGGTGAGTCCACCACTACGCACAGCGGAGTTCGACCTGCTCTTTGGCACCGGCATCTCCCACGCGGTAACCTCGCTCACCTCACCTGACCTCACCTCACCTCACCTCACCTCAGCCCCCACACTCTTCCCCGCCCCGTCTCCCCGCTCCTCTCCCCCGCTCTCCCTTCTCTTCTCCTTCACATGCGTGTGCGGCTCCCTGTCTAAACCCGTGCAGTCTTAGTCCCTTCTCCTCGCTAGAACCTTACACCACCGTGCACCCCTGTCTGACCCCCTCTCGATCGCAGTAACTCACCCACTTTCCGTGCTCCTCCGGTTTCTTTTCTGCTTCTGTTTCGTGTTTCGCTTCTCTTTTTCCCTTTTTCATTCCGTCCCGCCCGACCCCCACCGTGGTCTTGGAAGCTGCCGTGCGTTTGCCTCATGCTCTGCAGCATCTACCACCCTGCCTCCCCTCTCCCCCGTGCGTGCATGGAGCAGGGGTGTGTGCTGGACTGTGCGGAGGAGCTGAAGAAGGTGGAGAGGAAGGGATCGTGGTACAGCTTCAGGGACGAGATGCGGTGAGACAAAAACGAGATGGGGTGAGAGGAGGGCATGCGGTGAGAGGGGGGCATGCGGTGAGAGGGGGGCATGCGGTGAGAGGGGGGCATGCGGTGAGAGGGGGGCATGCGGTGAGAGGGGGGCATGCGGGTTTGTATTGTCAATTCCTTCTCATTCCCACCTATCACCACCACTTCTCATGCTTTCTGGCTCTCACCCTCCACCCTCCCATTCTAACTCTTCCTTTTGCCCTCCCTCCTTCACCACGCCCCCTCCTTCCCCCATGCTCCCGTGCTCCTCGTTCTCCCCTCCCATGCGCCCTGTGCGTCCCGTGGCAGGGTGCAAGGGCGTGAGAACGCCATCACGTTTCTCAACAACAACCCGCACGTCTGTGACGAGCTAGAGCATGTCAGTTCGCCCCTCGTGGCTGTTAAGTTGAGTCAATTCACAAGGCACCTCACGCCATCACGTTCCCCGACAACAACCCGCACGTCATTGGCGACCTCGAGCAGGTCAGTGTGCCCCTTCACTCGACTCAGTAGACTCACTATCCACCTACCACCACAAGCTCGAGCAGGTCACTGCGCCCTGACTCGTGACTGCTGAGTCGACTCACAAGGCACCTCACGACTCGTGACGCCAGTACGTTCCTCAACCGATCATTGCCCGTCCGTCACGGGATCCATCAGGACAGTGTGCCCCGCCCCTCCCCCTGCTCCTCGCGTCCATCCCTTCCGTACTGCTTCAAGCCCCTCTCATTCCCCTACACATAGAGCAGTCATGTGGACAGCGACGTGGAGCGATTGAGCTTATCCTTCTTGCGCTCTTCCCTGCTGTACATGCTGCAATTATATTCGCCATGCTGTGTGGTGTGGTGTGGTATGGTGTGGTGTGGTATGGTGTGGTGTGGTATGCTGTGCCTGCCTTGGCATGGCACCTTGGCAGTGTGCTGTCGTACAGCTCGTCCTCGCCCCCCACCCCGCCTCCCCTCCCGCCCTCCCACCTTCTTCAATCTGCCTGGGCCTACCTCCCGCTTCTCCCCCATTCCCCTTTACCCTCCCTCTTGGTGCTCTTGCGCTGTGCAGCTAGTGCGGGAGCATGTGGCACCGGTGGAGGAGGAGGTGGTATCAGATGAAGAGAGTGACTTGGACCCGCTACCCTTTTCTGATGACGATACATACCATGGGGCAGACATTGACATGCAATAGGGCGTGGGGCACACAGGAACATTCACAGGGGCTGCACAGGGGCTGCACTGGGGCTGCACTGGGGCCAGGGCTTAGGTTTGGATTTTGCCTACTCGCGATTAGCAGTGTAGACATTTTCAAAACCCTTCTGAGCAGTGTGCCCTTTTTGGAAACACTGATGGATCAGTGTTACTTGAATTTTTGAAAACTTTACCCAGAGGCATCAGTGTAGGTATATTTTTTACCCTGATTGTACTTTAGGCAGCTCAATATGTGCTGGCAGCAACCAAGCTCGAGGCCCAAATTGCGCAAGATTACTAAGTTGGGCGCTGGTGGGTGGGAGTTGTGATGTGAACTCAAAAGTCGAGCGCAGTAGCTTGTCTGGTTTCGCTGCAACACTTGTATTTTTCGCCAAGTCAGCAAGCTTCTCGGGGGGAACGGTTGTTTGGGGACCTTGAGTTGAGTCCCAAATTTCCGAGTCGAGAAAGTTGACGTTCTTGCAGTGAGTGCAGCTTCGACCAATCAGGTTGCATCGCCTCTACAGTAACGGGTAGGTTGCAAGCAGACACGGAGTTACACGGTGTCGGTTGTCAGTACTCACGTGTGCTGGCGTCGTAATGCATCATTACGAAATTGGGTGTATCGTTACAAAATTTATAGGAAACTTCTTCTCGATAAGTAGAGTTTCCGAAAGGGGGGAGGGGGGGGGGGGGTTCCCTGTACGCTCTTCAGGGTAATCTTCGCTAAGGGAAAAATTACCCCAGAGCATCAGTGTGGCCTAAATTATTACACTTACGGATTAGTGTAACACTAACTCACCAAAAAATTACCCCAGCACATCAGTGTAGACCCAAAATTTCACCCTTGTAATCAGTATAGAAGGGTAAATTACACTGCAAACCTGAGCCCTGACTGGGGCTGCTTCAGAAGACCGAATGACGCTTACATGGGGAAGACGATGCTTCAGGGGTGTTTTAGCATAGAAAATGTTTAGTGTTTTGCATATGGAATTAGTTTTTAGAGATTAATTAGAAGTGGCGAGTTTACATAGATGGCTGACAGGACTCAGCTGATAACACTTAGCAGGCCCCCATAAGTCAGCTTTATGCTGATTTCTGAAAGTTTTTTTTTGGGGCCCCTATCTAGCCTGAATGTTCAAAAATTTTCAGTGTGTAGGCCGATCATTCAGCAAAATAATGTGAAGCACTCTGATTGTCCAGTGTATTGAGAAAGCTTGCTTCTGTAGCAATTGGCATCGTTCTCATTAAAAATGAGAGACGTGGGTGGGGGAAGAATGACCCCAGCCCACATTATATATTCGGAGAAGGCGAATACCGCGCTTCGACGATGCACAAAATTGCATTACAGTCAGCTTCGCTTTCACAATACGCAAATTTGAAAGCAATAAACGCTTAGAAATTTTTCAATTTTTCAAAGGGGACCTTCATTCATCAGTTTGTATCGAAGCCTACCCTCATGCGAATCTTTGTCAATATATTTGTAAGTGTACGTTAAAAGCAAGCAACGAGTGCCTACTACATACATACATACTTACTACCATAACATACTATTCATATCCTATCTAGGCTGCTCATTGAATCCATCATCATCACTATCACATGCATCATCATCTCCTAGGTCGACTAATACTGTCTCCTCATCCACAGGCTCCTTGCCCTGCCTGCTCTGTTGCTTCCCTGCAGTGATAGGAGCGTTGCTGTGGGGTTTGTGCTTCTTGTAGCTCCTCCAGATCCCCACAAACTCTTCCTAGTTCAGCTCATACTCCATGAGGCTCATTCCGTGAGATCTCCAAGCCTCGCATCCTTCAACGACCCTCGCTGCCACGACTTGATAATGTTATGCCGGGAGAACCCTCTCTCGCACTCCATGGTGCTCAGCGGCAGAACAGCTACCGCCACCCACAACTGCACCAGGTTCGGGTAGTTGTCGCGCCAGTCTGTTTTCTTCAGCATGGCGGTGAGTCCCGCGTGGAAGCTACGCTCGTTCTTGTTGGATGCTGCAACCACCGAGGTGAACATGCGCAGCTCCTTCACCGCAAGTCGCTTGTTGATTCCTGGCGGGGGAGGAAACGCAAAACAAAGGAATAAGACATTAAGAGCAAAGCGTTACATCACATACGAGGATACAACGATGTAGCGGCTCACTGACAATGACAAGCACACACATGCAACGTTTATGGAATTTCGTGCTTACCTGGCAGGATTTCCTCACACATGTCGGCCTTGAAGAGTATGACCAGGGACTCCAGCCACTGGAGGCATCTCACATTCCTCTCTCCACGTTCCAGCGGCCACTCATCAGGGGTGAACAGCTTTGCCCCTGACATTCCCTCCAGGTCGCCAAGCCGTGAAAGCAGCTAGTGCCCACCACCATGCCACCCATACGGCCCTCCCCCTCCCATGCGTGCACACCCCGCACAACCACGGCACTCTCAGAGCGAGATGGGGCAGGAGTCGATAGGGCTGCTGGCGCGCCTGATGTCCAAGGTGCTCAAGAAGCTGAGCGCGACTGCGAGCAGGTCCAAGTGCACTGTCATCTTCCTCAACCAGATGCGCCAGAAGGTGCGGAATGGGGGAAAGAAAGGGGGAGAAGGGGTGGAGGAAGAGATGGGGAGGACGGCGTGGTGATGTGTGGGCGCGGTGATCTGGGGGCGTGGTGATTTGGGGGCGTGGTGTATGGGCACGTCAAGTCACACAAGCTGGTTGTACGGACGAGCTGTCTGTCCTCGCTTGGCTGATCGCGTCTCTATGTGCACTCGCACATGCACTCCGTCATCCCTGTATCCATGCCACCATGTCACCATGCCACCATGTCACCATGCCACCATGCCACCATGCCACCATGTCACCATGTCACCATGCCACCATGCCACCATGCCACCATGCCACCATGCCACCATGTCACCATGCCACCATGTCACCATGCCACCATGCCACCATGCCACCATGCCACCATGCCACCATGCCACCATGCCACCATGCCACCATGTCACCATGCCACCATGCCACCATGCCACCATGCCACCATGCCACCATGTCACCATGCCACCATGCCACCATGCCACCATGCCACCATGTCACCATGCCACCATGTCACTATGCCACCATGCCACCATGCCACCATGCCACCACGCCACCATGTCACCATGTCACCATGTCACCCCATGCCACCGTGTTGCCGTTTCACCGTGTCACCATGTCACCATGTCACCATGCCACCATGTCACCATGCCACCATGTCACCATGCCACCATGTCACCATGCCACCATGTCACCATGCCACCATGCCACCATGCCACCATGCCACCATGCCACCATGCCACCATGTCACCATGCCACCATGTCACCATATCACCATGTCACCATGCCACCATGCCACCATGTTACCATGTCATCATGTCACCATGTCACCATGTCACCATGTCACCATGTCACCATGTCACCATGCCACCATGTCACCATGCCACCATGTCACCATGTCACCATGTTACCATGTCACCATGTCACCATGTCACCATGTCACCATGTCGCCATGTCACCATGCCACCATACCACCATGCCACCATGCCACCATGCCACCATGCCACCATGCCACCATGTCACCATGCCCACCATGTAACCATGCCACCATGCCACCATGTCACCATGTCACTATGCCACCATGTCACCATGCCACCATGACACCATGCCACCATGTCACCATGCCACCATGTCACCATGCCACCATGCCACCATGCCACCATGCCCCCATGTCACCATGTCACCATGTCACCATGTCACCATGCCCCCATGTCACCATGTCACCATGTCACCATGTCACCATGTCACCATGTCATCATGTCACCATGCCACCATGCCACCGTGCCACTTGCCTCCACTCACCCGCCTTGAGGCAGGGAATGAGCCAAGTTCATGTGGCCTTATGCCCCCCTGCCCCCGCCCACCTCCATCACTATCCACACTGAGACATCAGATTCACAACCTGCACACACCCATGTCACTCTTTCTCCCCCCGCCTCCCTTCCCTTACCCCTGCCTCCTCCTTTCCCACACCCCCCTCGTCTAAATCTCCCTTTCACCTCTTTCCCCCTTCTCTCCCCCCACTTCCCGCCTCCCATCATCCACGTGTGCTGCCGTGCTGCTGTGACACCCCGTGCAGATCAACACGGGAGGCTTTGCCTTCGGTAGTCCCGAGACCACCACGGGCGGCACTTCTCTGCGCTACTTTGCCTCTGTGCGCCTTGACCTGCGCAGTATTGGCAAAATCAAATCCGTGAGTGCAGCCAATCACCATCGTGTGTGGGCTGGGCAGCGAGTGAGATCCATGAGTGCAAGGATCATGTGGCGATTGGTGAACGCGGCCCTTGTTGCACCGCCCTGTACACGTGGTGCTCTGCTCTGCATGGGGTCCGATTCACGTGTGAGAGCTATCGAATCAACCCTGCCTGCATCGTTCTCTTCTGTCCCAACATTGTTATGTCCCCATGGCAGGCCAAGGACGAGTCAGACATGGGTATTCGTGTGCGCTGCAAGGTGGCCAAGAGCAAGGCAAGCACGCACACATGCCCTCCTTCCCCCACCCCTGCACTCCCATGCCCCATGTTACGTGACACACACACCCATGAAGCTTCTTGCCACCTGTTCCTCTTTCTCATATGCCTGGCCAGTCAATCTCCTAGCAACATGCCCATCACCACACCTGGCACTCAATGCATGGACCAGCTCCCCATGCATGGACCAGCTCCCCATGCATGGACCAGCTCCCCATGCATGGACCAGCTCCCCATGCATGGACCAGCTCCCCATGCATGGACCAGCTCCCCATGCATGCGCCCTGGTGATTCCCCGTTCCCTCTTGCTGCCCTCCCCCCTGCCTGCCCTCCCCCCCTGCATGCCGCCCCCCCTGCCTGCCCCCCCCCTGCCTGCCCCCCCCCTGCCTGCCCCCCCCCTGCCTGCCCTCCCCCCTTCCTGCCCTCCCCCCTTGCCCGGCATGGCAGGTGAGTGCACCACTGCGCACAGCGGAGTTCGACCTACTCTTTGGCACCGGCATCTCCCACGCGGTAACCTCGCTCACCTCACCTCCCCTCACCTCGCCTCACCTCACCTCACCTCAGGCCCCACGCTCTCCCCCGCTCCTCTCCCCCGCTCCTCTCCCCCGCTCCTCTCCTCTCCTCCGCTTCTCCCTTCTCCTCTCCTTCGCATGTGGGTGCAGCCTCCCCGACTAATCTTTTGCAGGCAGTCTTAGTCACCAGAACCTTACACCACCATGCACCCCTCTCTTACCCCTCTCTATCGCATTTCCTCAACCCCTTTCCGCACTCCACTGGTTCTATTCTGCTTCTGATTTCTGTTCTTGCAGTTGTTGTCCTTGTTTTCTTCTCATCATGCCTGAACCTTACCATGATCCTGGAATTGCCATGCATATGCTTCATGCTCTGCCCCCTCTGCCCCCTCTGCCCCCTCTTCCCCCTCTTCCCCCTCTTCCCCCTCTTCCCCCTCTTCCGCATCTGCCCCCTCTGCTCTCTCTGCCCCCTCTGCCCCCCTTGTGCGGCCTGTGTGCGCGGAGCAGGGGTGTGTGCTGGACTGTGCGGAGGAGCTGAAGAAGGTGGAGAGGAAGGGGTCGTGGTACAGCTTCAGGGACGACATGCGGTGAGCGGAGAGCGGCGGGGGAGTGAGAAGAGGAGGAGGGGGGGATATGAGTGGGGGAGGGGGAAAGTGAGTAGAGGGGGAAAGTGAGTAGAGGGGGAAGGTTAGAGGGAACGGCTACTGGTGCAGCTAAGGACGAGATGCGGGGAGAGGGGCGGGGGGAAATGTGGTCCGAGGGGGGGGGGAGGGAATGTGATGAGAGGGGCGGGGCATGGGGTGAGGGGGGCGGGGCATGCTGTGACAGGGGGAATGCGGAGAGAGGAGAGCTTTCGGTGAGAGCATGGGGGGGGGGTGAGAAGGGGGGAGGGTGGGGAGGGGTAAGGTGAGGAGGGTGGGTGAGGTGAGAGGGAGTGGGATGAGGTGAGAAAGGGGGGGACGAGGTGAGAAGGGGGGGGGATGAGGTGAGAAGGGAGGAGATGAGGTGAGAAAGGGGGAAATGAGGTAAGAAAAAAGGGAATGAGGTGAGAAAGGAGGGGGATGAGGTGGGATGAGGTGAGAAGGCTGGGGGATGAGATGAGAGGGGGGGGGGATGAGGTGAGAGGGGGGGAGATGAGCTGAGAAAGGGAGAGAGGTGAGAAATGGGAGTGGTTTAGGTGAGAAAATAGGGTCATGAGGTGAGAGGGGGGGGGGCATGAGGTGAGAGGGGGGGGCCATGAGGTGAGAAGGGGGGGGCATGAGGTGAGAGGGGGGGGGCATGAGGTGAGAAGGTGGGGCATGAGGTGAGAAGGGGGGGCATGAGGTGAGGAGGGGACATGAAGTGCGGCAATGGTTTGTAGTGGAGTACGATTACCAGTTCATTCTCATGCCCCCACCTATCGCCACCACCACTGCTGCTAGCTCCCACTCACTCTCCCTCCAAATGCCACTGCACGTACTCAGCTCACCTATTTCCAACCCTCTTCCCCACCCCTCCAACCTCCCTTTCTACCTCTTCCATTTGCCCCTCCCTCCTTGACCACCGCTCCTCCTTCCCCCACTCTCCCGTTCTCCTTGTCTCCGTCCCCCATGCTCCGTGTGCGCGCCATGGCAGGGTGCAAGGGCGGGAGAACGCCATCACGTTCCTGAACGAGAACCCGCATGTGTGTGACGAGCTCGAGCAGGTCAGTGCGCCTCTTCACTCCCCTCAATACCCTGCTCACGCCACAAGCTCCCAAAGGTCAGCATGCCCCCACTCATGACTGCTGGGTCGGCTCACAAGGCAGTGTTACAGAGACCAGCAATGTGTACACTGACCAGCAATGTGTACACTGACCAGCAATGTGTACACTGACCAGCAATGTCTACACTGACCAGCAATGTGTACACTGACCAGCAATGTGTACACTGGCCAGCAATGTGTACACTGGCCAGCAATGTGTACACTGACCAGCAATGTCTACACTGACCAGCAATGTGTACACTGACCAGCAATGTGTACACTGACCAGCAATGTGTACACTGACCAGCACTGTGTACACTGACCAGCAATGTGTACACTGACCAGCACTGTGTACACTGACCAGCACTGTGTACACTGACCAGCAATGTGTACACTGACCAGCACTGTGTACACTGACCAGCAATGTGTACACTGAACAGCAATGTGTACACTGACCAGCAATGTGTACACTGACCAGCAATGTGTACACTGACCAGCAATGTGTACACTGACCAGCAATGTGTACACTGACCAGCAATGTGTACACTGACCAGCAATGTGTACACTGACCAGCAATGTGTACACTGACCAGCAATGTGTACACTGACCAGCAATGTGTACACTGACCAGCAATGTGTACACTGACCAGCAATGTGTACACTGACCAGCAATGTGTACACTGACCAGCAATGTCTACACTGACCAGCAATGTCTACACTTGACTTGGTACATGTTCCGTAGACGGGAATTTCTGGTCCAGCATTTCAAGATCCAGCAGGTTACTTTATGTGCCCCTGTGCTGCCCGCATTCCTTACATACTGCGTCAAGCCCCAATCATTCCCCTTCACCTACAGCACATATGTGCGCAGCGACGTGGAGCGATAGAGCCTGTCTCTCTCTTGCTTTCTTGCCCTCTCCACCTCTTGCCCTCTCGACCTCTTGCCTTCTCGACCTCTTGCCCTCTCGACCTCTTGCCCTCTCGACCTCTTGCCCTCTCGACCTCTTGCCCTCTCGACCTCTTGCCCTCTCGACCTCTTGCCCTCTCGACCTCTTGCCATCTCCCTCTTCCCTCTTGTTTGTGCTACGATGCGATTTGTGAAGCTCGTGTCATGCCATGGTGTGTCGCGTGTTATGCTATGCCTGCCTTGCCATGACACCTTCTCAGCATTCTGTCATACGATCCATCCCGGCCCCACACGTCGCCCCCCCTCCCACCTGCGCGCCCTCTTCAATTCCTCTGGGCCCACCTCCCTCTTCTCCCCCTTTCTCCCTCATGTTCCCTCTTGCTGTTCGAACGCGGTGCAGCTAGTGCGGGAGCATGTGGCACCGGTGGAGGAGGAGGTGGTATCAGATGAAGAGAGTGACTTGGACCCACCACCCTTCTCTGATGACGATGCATACCATGGGATAGACAGGGGCATGCAGTAGGGATGCGGTAGGGATGCAGTGGGACTGCTTCAGGTGGACTGGGGAAGAACATTCTACAACATAGAATGCCCTAGGTAGGTTTTGAATATATGCCCTCCAGAGTCCAGGGCTTTTAGTGAATACCAGACCATACTTTAGTGAAATAAGTGGGGGGAGGGCGGGGAGGGGGGGGTGTGAACATAAGTGGCAGGCATCAACTAATCACAATAAGCAAATCCCTGTCTTGCTGGCCCTTGTCAGATTATGTGCAACAGGGGGCCAATAATATCAGGGTAAAATACCTTGATGACCCTGAATTAAGGTGTTGGTACCTCCCTTTCCTTGCATGACTCTTATACGAGTTCTTCTATCCAGGTAAATAAGGTAACTAAGAGAGTGAGTTCTCTTATTCTGCTTATTCCTTTCATGTCAAATTGCATTTGTTATCTCTAGGCTGTAGTGGGGCATACTCTAAGTACAACACCTTAGGTCATTCCTAGTCCTTGTACTCACTCTTCCCTACCAGTCAATCATTCCTACGTTCTATTTCTGACATGGTATTCAGAGCAGGTCCCTCAGTAAGACCGCTCCGTTAGGGCCCACCAACCGTACCTACTGCCTCAGGAGTTGCTGCCGTCGCGCGCTACCTTTCTAGCCGCGCGCTGCTGCCCTGCCCTGCCTAGCGCTGTCGCGCTACCTTGCCCCGCTCTTCCCCGCCGCGCGCTGCCCTGCTGCCGTGCGTGCTGCGCTGCTGCCCGTACTGCCCTGCTCGCCGCGCTGCCTTGCTCGCCGCGCTGCCCTGCTTGCCGCGTGCTGCCCTCCTTGCCGCGCGCTACCCTACTCGCCGCACGCTGCCCTGCTCGCCGCGCGCTGCCCTGCTCGCCGTGCGCTGCCCTGCTCACCGCATGCTGCCCTACACGCCACGCGCTGCCCTGCTCGCCGCGCACAACCTGCGCCATGCACGCGCGCAGCTTGCGCCCTGCCCGCACGCGCGCTGCCCATGCACGCTCTACCCGCACGCCCGCTGCCTACGCGCGCTCTGCCCGCATGCGCGCTGCCCACGCGCACTGCCTACGTGCGCCCTGCCCGCACGCGCGCCGCCTACATGCGCCCTGCCCGCATGTGCACTGCCTACGCGCGCCCTGCCCTGCTGCCCGTGCCCCGCTGCACTGCAGTCCGCTCGCCGCCCTGCCCTGCTGCTCGCGCGCCGCCCTGCCCTGCAGCCCGCGCGCTGCACTGCCCTGCTGCCTGCACGCCCTGCAGCCCGCGTGCTGCCCTGCCCGTGTAGCCCTGCAGCCCGCGCGCCGCCTTGCCTTGCATACCGCGCACCGCCCTGCCCTGCAGCCCGCGCGCCGCCCTGCCCTGCAGCCTGCGCACTGCCCTGCCCTGCAGCCCGTGCGCTGCCCTGCCACTACAGCGACTATCGCTACTGCTACAGCTGCAACTACAGCGGTCGCTTCTGACGCCCTTGCGTGCTGCTACTGACTGCCACTGCCTGTCATGGCCACTATCACAGTCGTCGCAACGTCTGGCGGTGGACAGCAGCAGCAGTTTCATCCGGAGACTCTATCGACGCAGCAGCTTCGCAAATGGGTTGTTTGGCGAGGCCGCTCTAGTCCTGGAGCATGGGATTTCATGCGGGCTGGCGGTACTGGACAGCAGCGGCGGTCTCGTCGCCATGAGACTCTCTCACCACAGCAGCTTCGTGAGTGGGTTATTCAGCAAGGCCGTCCTGGTGGTGGAGGTTATGGTGCTAGAGGTACTGGACAGCAGCTTCAGCAAGAGACCCTCTCACCGCAGCAGCTTCACGAGTGGGTTTCTCAGCAACGCGTCCCTGGTAATGCAAAGGCTATTATTCTAGGTGCTTGTGAGCCTGGTAGCACAGGTGCAGTTTCTGTAGAGGCTTTGCACACCTTTATGCTTGACTCAGGCGCGACTCGCTGCTTCTTCCGCGACTGCACCACAGTCACACCGCTCACTACACCTGTCCCGATCTCTCTGGCTGACCCCTCTGGGGGCCCAGTTGTAGCACGTGCCTCCACAGTTCTCCTGTGTCCGGCAGCTCCCTCAGGCTCGCCCACAGGTTTCCACCTCCCTTCGTTCTCTAAGAACTTGGTGAGTAACGCTGTCCTCCAAGACCAGTTTGTCACTGTGACTACTCCTAGGGGTGAGCTTGTGGCGATCCGTACGGACTCATGCATTAACAGGCACCTCGCCACGTTCACTCGGAGGCTTGGGTCTGGCCTGTACACACTGACTACTGAGTCTGCACAGGTGGCTGCGTCAGGTCAGGTGGCTGAGTCGGGTCAGTTAGCTGCGTCTTGTTTGTGTCGGCTACTCTTGCACCAGAATCTCCTCTGGCACCACCGTCTTGGTCACCCCTCTCTGCCGCGCCTTTGTGGCATGCCCTCGCGTCTCTTTGTCTCTGGCCTCCCCAGGTCCCTGCCCCCACTCCCGCGCTCGCTTGCACCGCCGTGCCTTCTGTGCGTCGAGGGGCGGCCGCGCGCTGCTCCTCACTCCTCGTTTCCGCCGACCACTGCTCCTCTGCAGACTCTCCACATGGACGTGTGAGGCCCAGCCCGCGTCCGTGGATAGAACCAGGAGTGCTACTTTCTTGCGAAGCAAGGCGGATGTCCGCGGTGTTTTGATCGACTCGATCATCCCTGATTGTCGCCAGCTGAGCACGAGGTTTCAGCAGGACCTCCCGATCCTGTAACTTCACTCTGACAGAGGCGGTGAGTAAACCTCCGGCCTCCTTTGGGACTTTTGTCGTGCGGAGGGCATCGCCCAGACGTTCACGCTTCCAGCCTCTCCACAGCAGAATGGGATTGCTGATTGTCGCATTGGCTTGGTCATGGAAGTTGCTCGCACCTCCATGATCCATGCGGTTGCTCTCCATTTTCTGTGGCTGTTTGTGGTCCGATACGCCGCGCATCAGCTCAACCTCTGGCCCCGTGTCTCTGTGCCAGAGACCTCGCCTACACTGCGTTGGACGGGGAAGGTTGGCGATGCGTCGGCGTTTCGGGTCTGGGGTGCGCTCTCCCTTGTCTGGGATACCACCGCGAGCAAGCTCTCTCCTCGCACTTTCCACTGTGTCTTCCTTGGATTCCCCACCGACGCCCCGCCCTGGCATTTTTACCACCCTGCCTCGCGCCGGGTCCTGTCCTCACAAGACGTCACCTTTGAAGAGTCGGTCTGCTTCTACTGTCTCCACCCGCACGTGTCCTCCCCACTCTTTCCGCCGCCCCTCTTCTTGGTCCCAGGTCCCCCCAAGTAAACCCCCTCCCCCCACAGGATCCTGCTCCCTCAGGTGTGTCTCAGGTCGACCCACCCCCCTTGGTTGAGCCTTTGGAGGTCTCCTCTGACACCTCTGGCCCAGCTGAGGGGGGTGACCCCGCTGCTGACGACACGGTGGCCAGTCGCCGCTCCCCGCACTTGGAGACCCCTCCTAGTTTTCCGCCTCGGCCGTCTTCGCCGCCTCTGCAGCCTGTCGCTGCGGACTTTGGTGCTGCTGGGGGTGGGGACCCTGAGGGTGCGGACTCTGGGGATAATGGTCCGCGGGTTGCTGAGTCTGGGGGTGCTGGTTCTGGGGGTGCTGAGTCTGGGGATGCTGGTTCTGAGGGTGCTGATTCTGGGGGTCCCGGTTCTGGGGGTGCTGACACTGGGGGTACTACGAGTCCTAGTGGCGGTGGAGTTGAGGGTGCTCCTACTGGAAGTTCTGGCGTTGGAAAGCAGCAGCACTCTTGTCGCCAGGAGACTCTCTCGCCGCAGCAGCTTCGCGACTGGGTTGTTAGGCAAGGCAGTCCTGGTGGTGGAGGCTATAAAGCTGGAGGTACTGGAGCTACTGGTGCTAGAGGTGCTGGGGAAGCTGGTGCTGGAGGTGCTAGAGCTAGTGGTGCTGGGGGTCCTGGAGCTGCTAGTGCTGGAGGTGCTGGAGCTGCTAGTACTGGAGGTGCTAGAGCTGGAGGTGCTCGAGGTGCTGGAGCTACTGGTGCTGGAGGTGCTAGAGCTGGAGGTGCTGGAAGAACTGGAGCTGCTGGTGCTGGAGGTGCTAGAGCTGAAGGTACTGGAGGTACTGGAGCTACTGGTGCTGGAGGTGCTAGCGCTGGAGGTACTGGAGGTACTTGAGATGCTGGTGCTGGAGGTGCTGGAGGTACTGGAGCTGCTGGTGCTAGAGGTACTGGAGCTGCTGGTACTGGAGGTGCTAGAGCTGGAGGTGTTGGAGGTACTGGAGCTGCTGGTGCTGGAGGTGCTGGAGCTGCTGGTGTTGTAGGTGCTAGAGATGGAGGTCGTGGAGGTACTGGAGCTGCTGGTGCTGGAGGTACTGGAGCTGGAGGTGCTAGAGGTATAGGAGCTGGAGGTACTGGAGGTGCTGGAGCTGGTGATTCTAGAGATACTGGAGGTGCTGGAGGTGCTGGCACTGCTGGCGGTACGGCTACTGTGCCGTGCCAACCGTTTTTCTACCCACAGCCGCAGTCGTCCCTGCCACCGCCTGACTCGGCACTTCGTTAGGTTCTTAGTCTTCCGTCTTCCACTGGCCTTACTCCACCTCTTCTGTGTCCTCCGCTTGACCAGCCACAGCCGCAACTACTGCCTGGCTCTCCACTCCCTGCTCTTTTACCCTACCCTGAGCAGACAGGCTCCCTGGCAGAGCGTCATGAGCCTGAGTCTCGTCCCGCCTCCCCTGTTTTCCCTGTCAGTCGTACTTGTCGTCCTCTTCCTCTACCTGTCCCCAGCACGCGCATTATGGCACTTCGTCCTTCCTCTATTCCACTGCGTGTTGCTCTGCCGTCTCCTCCGGCGTCCTTTTTTCCTGACGTTCCTGACCTGAGTCTGACCTTGCTCGTGCTGGTAGTCCTACTATCACTCGTCTCCTTGCCACTGTAGTCAATAACCCTTTCTTTGAGTCTACTGCTGCGTCTGCCCTCGTCACTCAGCTAGTCAACTTTGCTGCTACCCATCATCTCGACTACATCGCGAGTCTTAATACTGAGTCTGAGTCTGTCTGACCTCCGTCTGTC